TGGAAATACAGCATTTGTGATGCTCAGTAATCATTTTTCTTGGCAGGAGCCATGGTAAGAAAGTAATTAACTTACTTTTCATAATTTATTTTGACTGTGTGGTTAATAAGAAGAGTTTGGAAGTTGCATGCTCCTAAGATAAAGATGTATTTTACTAATACTACCAGTTCTGCTACCAAACACGTAGAGGGCATTAAAAGGGCATTAAATATTTTTATTGGGAAGCTCTTTCCCCCCACTCCCCCCCCCATCCAGCTGTTCTGTTTCTGCCAGCTTTGTTTTAGTGGACCTATCATGGACTAATGCACAATTTCTTGATGTAAGACCAGCTGTTATGCCAGGTTGCTCCTCAGGAGATGGGAAATGGTTGATTAGCAAGTAGAATGATATAGTTTAAACTGGAAGAGTCAACAGTTAAAGAAACGAACAAAATAAACCTGAGAACCTCTAAGATGTAACTTGTGGGCAGTATCCTTTATGGGCATTTGTTGGCTGAGTCAAGTGTTGCTGTCCCAGTTACCAGCTGTGCTTCTTTCTTCACAGGGATATATGCTTTGTGTTCCAGGGGAGGGCAATGTCCATAATTTGGGGTTTTTTTTAAAAAATAAGTAACTTCCAGATAACAATTCAGTTAAGGACAACAAACAAACAAACAGAAAAAACCCAAACCAGCCGAACAAAAAGAGTTAATGCTGTTGCCATGAAGTACTTTTTTCCTTTTGCTTGCTGCTTTGATAATCCTGACGGAGGGTGTACAAGAGTCGACTAATAAAGGTTGTACCTGCAGTACCTTGGAAAGTGTGTTCCGTGTTTGTAATAGTTTCTTGTCTCTCGAGCATCCGATCTGGTATTTACTCCATTAGTAATATCAAGTGATTCAACCAAGTTCAGTCCCACTAGAGGGAGCGTTGTCACAGCTGATGCAAAAAAGGGTTTGAATGAAGAGCAAACTCTGCTTACTGGGGCACAACAGCTCCTGGGTAGTGATGAGATTTGATGGGCAGTAGCTGTGTACGTTGGTATGGATTTGTTTCTTTCATTTGTCCTTACAAACTCTCTGCTTTAGTCTCCTTCACAAAATTATCCAGTGGTTATTTGGGGCAGGGATGCCAGGGTGGTAGATGGGTATTTTCTGTGCTGTTTTCACAGATAATCCTGGTTGTAGGCTCACTAATGTTTGTGCGGGCAACTCCAGTGGCTCCTGAAGATGATCATCAAATTACCTTTCAAACAACTCTATTCATTACCCAACTTAATTCCAGTGTGTCGGTTCTAGTTCTGTTTCTGCCAGCAGCAGGAACCAGATCAACATTTTCCAGTTGTGCTAGCAGAGAATTTGCTCTGCTGAGCGTTCCTGAGCGATGAGGACGTGGTGTTGTGTAGGGGACAGAGACGCCGTGGAGGTGCAAAGCGAGGGGCACGGTGTGCCTCGAAAAGCACACGTGGCAGAGCAGCGCAGCGGGGTCTGCAGGGGAAGGAACACGCTGGGCTGTTGCTGCGTGTCCCGCTGAGGGGACAAGGGATGTTAGGATGTGTGCAGGGTGACTCCCGAGCTGGCACATGGGAAGTAGCTGGTTGTCAATATCCCAGAGAGCGTTATAATCATATTTGATACTGAACAAAGTATGTAATGGCCCAGATAAAAGCATCCTGGTTGTTTAATTGGAAATGTCTTGCTGTTTTACATAGACCTACTGCCCTATTTTTATGAGATCTAGAATTGTGCCGAGAAATTGTTTCCATGGAAGCAGAGATCACTAAAGAAATAACTCACTCCACATTTCACAGAATTTCCTACAGGATTATTCGTTTTACAGCCTGGTGTTCTAAATAATTAACCCTTGTAGTACCACTGCAGCTTAGCAAGGATTAAAAGAAATAATACTTTATTTTCTTGCCATAGAGACATTACATATACATTTATTTATATATGTATGTTAAAGGAATTTAACCCAGTGGGTAACTCTAGGTTTGCTTTATTGACAACTCACAGTTGGGCTATCACCACAGTGAGTAGCAAAGGCCTTGCAAAAATCGAGCTCTCTATATCTGTTAAATTTAACATTATACAATAGATATTCTTTTCAAAGTTCTTAGTGTTTTCCCATGAACCCTGAGTTCCAAATTTCTCATTAATTTAAAATTCTATAAAAATTCTTCAAACCTGGCTGATTTGTCTCGTTTCAGTTCCTCTTCAGAAGTTGCAGCCCCGCTGGTCTCATTCTGGTCACTGTGTTCACTTCTCTTCTTGAATATTCTTCCTCTCTGCTCACCTTTGCACTTCTATGAAAAACTAACAAAATGACATTTAACTTGTGCTTCTAAATTCTCTTATTGTTGATTCAGTTATTGTTATTCTGTTATTGTTGGGTTTAAACCAACCATGGAGAGGGCTATAACTATTATTCCATTATTTCATAGCACCTGTTTCTAATTTTTCATCTTAACCATAATACTTCTATTAATCAATATCATTTTACCTATCAGAATTCTCTTAGAGAGCCTTTCCCTTTTACATGTATATAGATATTTGGAAATACTTTTGTCTTTAGAATAAGTCCGTTCTCTCCTTATTTACAGAGGGGAAGATCTACCAGTACAAAAACGTCAATAGAAAAATGCACTTTTATTTTGGCACTTTATGCAGCTCTGTCAGGGAAATTTAAAATTATTCGTTCTTTACCCTTCTCTTGCTGCTGTTTTGCACTTTTTGCTTGGTGATGGGTATGGTTTAAAACTATCATCGGGCTTCTGGCCACCTTTGAGGGAAGAGACAACAAATGCAGATTTTAATTAAGGTAACAGCAATGAGAATCTTCCACCAGTTGGGAAAAGAGACCATCTTGTTTAGTTACCTGTGTTATTTTCTTCCATGTATTACTTTTGTCAAACCCCTTTTTCTCTACTTTGCTGCATCTGGATGAAGGGGAAACTGTCAAATGATAATATGAGGCTGAGACTAAGTGTGATAGTTTCACTGGGCCAGCACTGGGCTGCAGCCCCCACGCCCAGGGGATAGGGGAGAGAACTGGGGTTTCTCTCCTCTATGAGTAAGGAGACTCGTAGGGTAAGTTAAGAACAGCTTCATAATAGAAATAAAAGAAAACTTAAAATAATACTAATATTAAACTAGTAGTGATAATGATAACGGTGAAAAATATGCAAATGAGTGACACCCAGTGCCATTGCTCACCACCCGCTGACCAAGCCCGGCCCGTTCCCAGATAACGATCCCGGAGGAGCGACAATCCCAAACCGAAACCACAATCCCGGTTGTGAGCTCTGAGTTCACAGCAGCTCAGGCTCTGTCCTCCAGAGAGAAGAAAAACAAAACTCATTCTCTCTAAAGTTCATAATGTGAAATAAAATAAAGGCAAGATATGAGAAGGTAGGTGACACTTAAATAGGTTTTGACTTTGAAGGAGGGATGTGAATTTAAAAAAAAAAAAAAAGGCAGATCATTAGAGGTAAATGAATGACTTAGAAATTAAAAATGAAATAAGAGTTACTAAGCTATTATCAAAGGATCGTCAATATGACAACCTGAAAGACCTGGCAATTTTAATAATAATTTTAGCTGTAGATCTCAATTATTTTCTAAGAAAGATAACTACTGTTATTTTTATCTGAAAGGGAAATGAAGAGGTGTGATCATGTGCTATAAAGGAGCCAGGAATGATTGGAAGAACGTGTCTCATCTTCACTCCCTCAAGTAGGCTGATTTAGAAACAGGTCTGGCTGCAAAGTTCAACTCCAGATTGTGCCCTTCTCTAGAGGTACAGGGTATTTACATCTGGAGCTCTCATTTTAAACACATACTGTGTGTAAATACTCATGGGCAGCCAGGGTGACTTCCCACTGTTCACCCAGACGCACGCTGTCACTCCACGTAGCCCACCTCGCATGGCTTTGGAGCTGGGCAGGTAAAAGGAGCTGACCACAAGACAGCATGCAAATTGTGTAGATGGGGGGGATGACGTTCTGTGGTCACTACTGGTCCCAAAATAATGCTTTATAAAATCTTGACAGTGTTTGACAAATCAGATGAATGAGATTTGTTTAATGCAAACAGGAAAATATCTTTCAGCCGCTGCAAAAACTCATGGAAATGGTAACTCGTGCTTTGTTGTAGATCATTAGGGCGCTTGGGAGCTACTGGCGTGTGCTGCGAAAGGCCTTACTCAACCTTCAGATTGAAAAATTTCTTCAGAAACAGCTAACAACTTTGTGAGGGTAATGCAGGCGTGAAAATCATCAGCCCTAGTACTGCCTGGGGATGAGTACGTGCCAAAGGAAAGGGGGAGAGAAGCTTTCTGTGCTGGAAGATGAGCCGGCGCTCCTGTGCTCTGTAAGTAGGAGAGCAGCCGTCATACTGATGAACAGCCATCCCTCCTGAATTGGCAGCTGCTTTTATTTTATAAAATAAAAGGCTTTATTTTATAAATACGTGAGAGGTAGAAAGGAGGAATTCCCTAACTGACAAGAATCTAGACAGTGGAATGATACAGAGGCTGTGTGATGGAAGAAACAGGAAAAACCATGATGGAAGTGGAGGGGTAGGATTTCTTCCAACAGAAATGGGAGAAATTCCTTAAATGTGCATTTCCACAGTCCATAAAAAGTCTAAAGAAGGAAAAGAGTAAGGTGCTTGTGCTTTAATCCGTAAGGGAAGCCCAGGGTAGCAGCTATGCTTCAGGTTGGCTTTTGTCTCTTCCCTGGTGTTGCCTCATCAAGTCAGAGGGATGTCAGGCATCTGGAGACAGGCATTGGTGCCACTCCCTGAGAAGTCAGAGATGAAAGTGCAGCTTGTTGACTTCTCTAGGATTTGGGTAGGAGATGACAGTTATTTTATAAGGAGAACCTGTTTGGTGGATCTCATTTGAATCTTGATAAAGGGAGCAGCACGCCAATGTGTAGAAACAAGTAGATTCCACGAAGGGATTAAAGCCTCAGATGTAACCTGCTGTCACCTGGGACAATCCATGCTTCTCACCTGCAATATGGAGCCTGCATTTGGGGTTTTGCTGGGTTTGATTCTGGTGGCAGCTTCATCAGCGCAGAGCAACTGTACCTGTGCTACCAACAAGTGGATGGTATGTGCCCAGGACGCGGCTGGGAACTGCACCTGCACACTGGTAGGTTCAAATCACAAGGTAGACTGTTCAACGCTGACTTCAAAATGCTTGCTGATGAAGGCAGAAACGATCTCCCTGAAGGAGAAGCACTTCTGGGGCAATCCCAGTGCGCTGTTAGATAACCATGGCATTTACAATCCAGACTGTGAGGACAGTGGTGTCTGCAAAGCCAGGCAGTGCAATCAAACCAATACTTGCTGGTGTGTGAACACGGCTGGAGTGAGAAGAACCGACAAGGATGACCAAAGCCTGCGTTGCAGTGAGCTGGTTAGAACAAGCTGGATCTACATTGAACTGAAGCACAAAAGAAGCTCCAGAGCCTTCAGTGTTCCCGACATGGCAAGGCCCTGAAAGCTGCTTGAGAGCCGATACAAGCTGCACCCCAAGTACATCGCAGTCATTCAGTATCACTCCCCGCTCATCCAAATCCGCCTGTACCAGAACGGCCCTCGGAAATCCAACGGTGATGTAGATGTAGCTGATGTCGCCTAGTATGAAAAAGATATAAAAAATGATTCCCTGTTTCATTCTAACAGTACATTAACTGTCTCTGTCAAGGGAGATGCTCTGGAGATTGAAAAACTACGGATTTACTCTCTGGATGATAAGCCACCAGAGTTCTCTGTTAGACAACTGGCTGCTGACGTTAGTGGTAGGCTGACAATCACAGTACTGACTGCTGGCTTTGGCATCATCGTGCTGGTTATGCTGAGGGGGCTGCGAAGAAGAAAATATAAGAAAGCTAAGACTGATGAAATGGGTGAAATCAGAGCATCAAGCTTAGCACTGCCCTGATCTGAAAAAAGAAAGGTAACAACAGGGAAAAAAAAACACAAACAAACAACACAAAATATAAATAGCAAACAAATTCAGTGTATATGGATGGATTTGGATATTTTTTTTTCTTTTCCACAGGAATTTGTACAGTGATTGTTCTAAATTATTCTACTTTAGTAAGAATGCCTTTTTTGGTGGTTTGGGTATAAACTAATTTGGGAATCAGTTACCTAAATATTTTAAATGAGTCACAATTTAGAGGCTAAGAGAAGTGTTACAGCTGCCTGTTTAGCATAACCTCGAATGCTTTCACTAGTCCTGCCGGCCTGGTTCAGCTTGCTTAAATACTGTCTGAGTAATCCTTGGTATATCCACTTACTGAAATACAAACACTTGCCTTGGCATCACTGAGTTCCAGAGCAGCTTTTCTGTTGGCAAAGACTTCTTTTCAAACGTGAGGGGGTTTTTTTTTTTTTTTTTAAGGCTGTTGGAACATTTTATCAACAAATAATTTCATGAATATTACTAAATAACCAGATAAAGTTTGGGTAAGATGCTGCACAGCACCAGAGGCTTTTATATGGAGTCAGTTGTTAGGAAACATTCCTGCAGTCACTTCCAGGTGTGGAGATCCCAGGTTTCTGAGTTTGTATTCAGGCAGCACAGTGAGCTATTCCCATTTGTACTCTTTAACAAGGGTCTGACACTCCGAGTCAGCAAAGATCCCTTGATCCCAATGCAAGCGTAAGTTAACCTTGGTGTTCTGCCCAAATTCAAACGCTGGTAATAGCTTTCTGTCTACCTAAATTCCCCTTGCAATTTTAATGGGAGGAGATATTTTTCAGTGTTGTACAGCTTCACAGAAATGCTACACAATGCTTCAGGACAAGCTGAAAAAGAGCTTTATTCCAGTAGAGCTGCAGAGGGAATCTGAGAGCAGAGTGTAATTACTGAAGTTGGAATTTAGCCAAGACACTAGATCTGGACTTCTTTGCTACCTCCTCATCTGCTGCATTCCTTGCTTGGGAGGTCACATCCACCATGAAGGACGTTTTAAAGAAAATAATGCAAGTTGTTAAAAGTGGAAATAGTGGCAGTTACGTTCTCGGTACTGCGTATGGATGTCTGAAGTCTCATCAGTCTAATCTGCTTACGTTCAAAATGAGACCGCTCCACCTAGGCGCTGCAGCAGGGTCAGCTCTTCTCATCTGTTATTTATTTTCAATGTCACTAGTTTGTAATTCTAATAAGTTAGTAATGCCCAGCTTCTAGGGCAAACTGTTCAATATGCATCTCTGATCCTACTGAAAAAACAGGATACCAGGAAAAAAGCGAAGAAGCTTTGATTCTGTTTCTGCCTTTGCTTATCTAGACGAGGAAGAGACTTGATGTGTGGAGGGTGAGGGTGTTCGTTTGTTTCATACTTTTTGGCTTAAAATACACCATTTCCATTTAACATCATTCTATTTCATTTGGAAAAATGAAAAAAAAAAATAAATTGGGGCTGGAAAAATTTGGGCTTTGGATAAATAGAAGAGGGGGGATGCATTGCATTTCCCTAAAGTAAGATCTTTATGCAATTGTATCAGCAATATTAACACATTCAAAAAGTTTTGGAGCAGGGTCTATAATTTATTGTGTGCCTTATGGCAACATGTCCACGCTGGTTGTTTTTCAGTCAAGTATACACATTAGTTCTGATAAAAAATGAAGTAAGAAGTTCTGAATTTTCAGAAAATTCAGAACTTTTAACCCAGCTTCACACAATTTTGCAATTAGGCTTTTATAAAATGGATTAAATTAAAAATCTGGAGCTGAGTAGCCCTCAGTGCTGAAGAAATGTAGAATGAGAATAAAAAATTTCCATGTACATTTCCTAACCACTGTCTAAACTTCTGCAAGGCTGATAAAAGCCATGTGTTTGAGAGGCTGGTGCTGTCCTTCTATCAGAGAAGATCACAAGATGTGCAATCTTCTGGGGATCTACTGTGGCTTTCAACGTTCTTTTAACATCACTGCATTTTTCTCCTTTCTGTCATAAGAAAAAAATGATTTGCAAGGTAAACGATGAGATTATATTAAAACAGAATATAAACATGAAGGCGTAATTTGGATTAGATGCAAAAGTGACAAATTGTTGAAAAAAATCTTCTTTGGCTCCTGCTTTCGTTTTCAGAAGCTGAGATTAAGAGAGGCTGTTGTGCCATTCATATTTTTATTAAAGGACTGCCCCACAAAAATCATGTGTTGTGTCAGTTCTTTCCTTGCCAGTCATCAAGCACCACTGGACTGCGTGTTGCTAGGGGATGGAAAATGCACGAGGGTCATTTAATAGGAGTGCTAAGGTATGTGTCTGCAATTAATCAAAAGAGGGGGAAGATTAATTGCAGTGTAGAGCTTAGAGAACCTCTCTTTGGAGAAAAAAGAATATTTATTTTATTAATTTTTATTATTTTTTGAATAAAGCTACGTAAAGCTACTGTAGGATCTGGACTATAATAAACCAAGCATGCCCATTGCTTCTGCTAAGTATTTATTTCTCTCCTCCTGCTCCAGTCCTACCACCTCTCAGACTATAAATTATCTTTTTGGCACATGGTAGATCGAGGATTTTTCCGTAACAGTCCATGATATTCAGCTTGTTTGACTTTGTCTGCTGCTGCTGTTCTTACTGAAAAGGAGAAAATGAACTCCTTGCCAGTTTTAAAGCTTGCAAAATGTTTTTTATTAGTCATTCTAATTTAGACATTTCTAACTGTGAAATTCCAGTTCTCCTTTCCCTGTTCTAATGGCGTGTTTGTTCATTGTAATTAAGTAATTAGGCTTTATCCTCTTTGCAGTGGGTTCTGTGGTACGGGCAGCATGGTGATGGTGCTGGTGGTGGTTTTATGTTCTAGGTGGCACTGGCTGACAGCTTTCAAGCAGTGCCCTGAACGAGGTGATTCACATCAATCTTGTATCAGCTTCTAGGGGGTCTGCTCAGGCATAAATATATTCAGGGAATTGTTTTGATTTGGAATGTTGTTTTAATACTCTGTAGGTACAAATACATATTTATGTATCTATGTGTAGGTAGATACAGAAATAGCTGATGTGAGAGTGCCTTTATGCTATTAGCTACCTGTATTAAATAACAGTGGGTATGCTTGCTTTAACAAAGAGCTGTCTTGCCTAAATTTTGTTCTGCAATTCCAAGGGTGCCTTAGAAAGCTCAAAGTAACCACTGGCAGAGAAAAAAATCCTGTCTTTGTGCTGTGACTCTGAAGAGGATAGTGCTGCCCTTTCTGTACAGCACTATTACCTTTGTGCAACTGCACAAAGTGGGTTTGGGCTTTTGCTTTTCACTTTTAGTTCAAACTTCTTTAACCACTCAAGTTCTGAGGACAGTGCCAGAAGCAATGCCAGTACTACAGCAAGGAAATTAAAGATAAGGATTCAGGGAAGGATTAAGACCCTGTTCCCTCTATTCCCTCGGTAAAATCCATGCCTGCTTATATACGCCAGCGCGTATTCTCGAACGCGTTGGCACAAAGTCCCCGCGTCAGTTTGCAGTGAGGGGTGTGTGTTCACTGCACCTGTATGTAAAGACGCCCACATCACTCCTTACATTAGAGCAGGCAAGCCCTGGGGAAAGCTTTGTGGCAGCAGATCCTACATTGCATTCAGCCAGCACGCAGCCTGCTCTAGCTCTTATCAGTGGTAAAATAGCCCAAACCTGCTGCTGTTTTGGAACAAAAAAGAATTCTCTTCTTGTCCCATCTTCCTCTGATTAAGAATAATCACTTTATAGATGTTTTGACTTAGATTATAGCCAGATTAGGTTAATGATGTGAAACAAAACACTGGCTGCACAAATGCACACCAGCACATCTGTGATATTAAACACTTCATGACAACTTCCTTGGGCAACTTGGGTTGCCCAAGAAAGTTGTGGATGCCCCCTCCCTGGAAGTGTTGAAGGCCAGGTTGGATGAGGCTTTGAGCAATCTGGTCTAGTGGAAGGTGTCCCTGCTGATGGCAGGGGGGTTGGAACTGGATGAGCTTTAAGGTCCCTTCCAACCCAAACCATTCTGTGATTCTATGAACTAGAGACGAGATCCCCCCCATAGTCCTTATAATGTTTAAACCTCAGGGAATCACCTTAGAAAAACCAAACCAATTTCTATTGCTTGCATATCTAAACCGCTTTTTCACAGGACACTTAAAGAAATAACAAATTAGCCCTTCTTCCACTTCTCCTTAATTGGCCCAGTTAATGCTATTGAATATAGTCTTCCTCGTGCAGGTATAATTATCCTTTCCAAAGTCTTTCCACTGATTCGCCTCAGGGTTTTAAGTACTGCAATTACCTCTTTTTTTTTTTTAATGCTAAAATTAATCTTCAGTCATGACAATTGCTATCAGAGCAGGAAAAATCAACTTCCAGAACTTTTACAATTATTATTCAGCAGTTCTAACAATATTCCTTGTATCAGGATTTATCTAGTTAAAATTTCCTACATGCCAGGCAGCCTGACAAGATTCCCATCTCATTTTCATGATGATCCCTATTCCCTGAGGAATAACACTCTTACAGTCCTACTCCAGCACAAATTAAGCACCACAGAAACAATTAGAGAGACTTTGTATTATCTAAATGAGAGACTGAATGAGAATGCATTTCTAATTTTCCACTGAGATTTTTACATGTGGGGCCAACAGTACTGGTGGCACATGCACCCAACCTTTTTCAGCTACGTTTTGTTAAATCAATGTCTGTCCTTCTAAAGCTTGAAATGAGAAACTTTGGCATTTTTACTGGTCTGGTTGCACCCAGAAAAGTCAAGTGGAACAACTAGAAAGTAATTGGATGTGGCTATGCTGTAGCCACTGCACTGTGCAGACACACTCACTTTTAGCAGGGGTCTGCTGAGTTCTCCTTCTTCCTTCCTGTCTTCACCTGCTCTTTTCTGTGGCTGGAAATAAGGCGGCTTTGCAGCTGTCTCAATTCTGCTGAAGGACTTGAGCAAAATCTCTTG